ACTAACGACTTTCTCCAAAAAAACCACCATAGACAAGAAAAAAAAATGAAAAAACACCAAATGTTGTCCGTCAAATCTTGAGCCCTTCTTTGTGCACACGGAAAAAATAAAATGAAATAAAGCGCAGTCCAGGGCAATCCGGGCCCTTGTAAACAAAGAGGTCCTCCCGAATTCGAGACTAGCTCCTTCTTTTTCTTTTCCTTCTTCTATCTCTTTTTTTATTTTATTTTATTTTTTCTAGTTTGATGTTTTGAATCAAGGATTCTATCCTCCTTTCTAATCTAATTTAAATATTTTAATGATATTAAAAACTACTACTATTAGATTAAGATTTATATTAGCTAAATTGAAGCAAATTGAAGCAAATTAAGATTTATATTAGCTAATATACTATCTATTTTAGAATTTATTTTCTAAAAAATTTGCAAGAGATCCATTCTAACCACTAACATTCTATTAGTTGCTATTTATTTAAAAAAAATTATATTAACTTCCTAAACTAGTGACTTAAAGCACCATAAGTGTCTTTTTGTATTAAAGCACCTCAATGAGTCAATTGTGTGACTCATAGTGAGCTCTTATAAAGAGTACCTATTGTAATCTAAAGTGACATATAGAAATGGTTTATGCCCTACCTATCCACTTGCTATTTATTTTCAATGGATGATTGATTTGGTTACAATGCCAATAAAACTTTGAGGCATGAAGTATTTAGTTTTTGCAAGAAAAGAGCTCTCCAATTATGTAGAAGGAAGAATATTGAGATTAAAGTCTATAGAGGTGGTATATTAGTTTATTTTAGACAATATTATATGTTGTTATGGGAGCATTGGAAAGATGAGAGTAGATTGGGATAAGCTTGATGCAATTGACATATATGATTTCTTTACAAGATATGAGGTGCAATTGAAATTGACCACCTTCTATAACGTTGAAGCCAATAGTAAGAATGAAAGAAAGTACCATCCAATCATTCAAGCTTTAGTTAAGACATGTAGGAATCAATCAAAGTAGTGGCCTACACTTGTGCTATTTGTTTTATCAACAAATATAACTATTCATAGCATAATTATTGACTATATATTGATAGAATTGACATTGGAGCAAAAGCCCTTAATACCTACAAAAAAAATCTATTCTTTCTTGGTTATTTTTGTCTTGAAAATATGGCATTGATAGAAAGAGATTATTAGAGCTTCAAATTTACTAATTAAAGAAATTATTCAAGAATCATCAAATTGCTATAGAGAGGCTTATAGCAGCAAGGTTGAATAACAAAAAGAGATTTGATAAAACTCAACAATTAAGGCCTAAGCCAATTAAAGAGAGTGATTGGATTTTGATTTAAGATAGTTTGATGCATCAATATTTTACTCTTTGTAAGTTTTCATGGCAATGGTTTGGACCCTATGTAGTCATTGAAGTGCATGATAATATAACTTATTCTCTTTGAAAGTTGAATAGAATACCATTGAAGACTAGGATTGTAGGAAAACAAATTAAAGTCTTGAAGCGGCAAGATAGGATGAATTATATAGAAGATTTAGCAACTTTTGAGCCTCAATATTTTGATCAACAATTCAAAAGTGATATGACTTACAATAAATCTAATTTTGATGAAAGAAGTATTGTAATTTAATTCTTTGGTACATACTACAATATATATATATATAGATTTTAAAAAGATAAGTATCATGATGCACTTAATTTGAGTACATCAAAGTTATTTGGAGAGCAATTAATTTTATTTGTAAGATAGAGGAATATAATGCTAATATGTTTTTAAATTTAGATGAGATTTAGAATAGGAGATTGATGCCTTAGATGGATTATTAAAGCTTTGAAGATATTACATTTTAGAATACAAATTCAGCTTTATATGAGTTCAAGGTAGGTATTAGAAGAATGTTAAGGCAAGATTATTGGCATCAAGTGGGATTTTTTTCTCAAGGACTAGTGTGACAAGGAAGAATAGAAGAGGATCATTGAAATTTTGAACAACAAGATTTAAGAGTAGTTTGGGTTTTTCCATGCCATTTATTGTATTTTCATCTTTTTATTTTAAAAATTTGAGAGAAATTAGAGCTTGTTGTTAACTTTCTAATAAGCATAAGCACACAAGAAAGAAAGTTTTGACAAAGGAGATCAAAGCAAATTTGTAGGAAGAAGATTGCTGGAATTTTGAGCAATGAGATTCAAGCTTAGATTGAGGTTTTCCATACCATTTATTATATTTTCATCTTTTTGTATTGAAATTTTGAGAGAAGCTAGATATTATTTTTATCTTTCTAATAAGCCTTATTATATAAGAAAATAAGCTATGATGTAAGAGATCTATGCAAATTTGTGGTAAGGAGGTTACTGGAATTTTTTAGCAACAAGATTCAAGATTAGTTTGGATTTTTTTATGTTATTTATTATATTTTCATCTATGTATTTTGAGATTTTGAGAGAAGCTAGATCTTATTTTTAGCTTTTCAAGAAGTCTTTGTATGCAAGAAAAGAATTTGTACAAAGGGAGATCCAAACTAATTTGTAGATGGAGATTTTAATGGTTGTGGCCATAGTAAGCAATCAACTTTTTCCTTGGTTTGGCTCTCATTTTCTTTGAAATTTATTTATTGAATTTGATATTTTGAATTTTATAGCTTGACTTAAGTTCAATGAGCTAAATTTAAAATAAATTGAATTGATAACATATAAATTATAGATATTTTAGAGAGAAGAGGTTTAGGTTTTAGATTAAAGTTAGGAATTGGATGCATCTTTGCATAAAAAAAGAATTAATCTAAAAATTATACTTAGCCTTTAGGATACATTTTTATATTTGAATTCATTTGAAAAAAATAATAATTTCTTACAACCTACCTGTAATGAAAGACCTCATATTTTCTTGAGGGGACTTGCTCTTTTGATAATGTATCTCTTCTTGAGCCATATAAGACAATGAATATCTTAGAAAGAAGACAAATATCACTTTCTTTTATAGAAGTGGATAATAATCAAGAAGTTGATGTAAAAGAAATCTTAGATTGAAAGTAATGCCAAAATAGGTTGGAATATCTTATTCATTGGTATGGACATGATATTAGTGAATGCATATAGGAGCCAAGAAAGAATCATATAAATGCAACAAAGATGATTCAGGCTTTTCATTGCCAATATCTATTAAAATCAAGATAAAGAATAATAAGATTCATAAAAGATGATGATTGCTCTTTGTAAAACTCATTCCTAGAAAAGAGAGTTATATCACAAATATACATATTTATTTCATATTTATTTCAATAATTACCTATATGATTAAATAGGAGTAGGTGAAAATAAATTAATTTCATATTATCTTCTAAAGAACCTTCATAGAAGCTTCATAGATGTAATTTTGACTTCACATGTATTTCTAGTTGATTGATAGGTTAAAAACTTAGTCAACAACTTAGCCATGTGTTGCACTTGCTGATAATTAGTGGAACAAGCTAACTATGTGGCATACATATAGAAAACTTGCCTTACAAGTTAAAACACATATCTTGCAATTTAGATATGTATCAAAGGTCCTATAGAACATTGTTACATAGTTTCTAGTTAGATAATATATTTGGAAGCAAAAGTGAAGTCTTTTTTACTCTTGTCAACATATTTCTAGACCTTAGTCATGTTTCAAGACTTTTTAGTCTCCTTATCTTTGGCAATAGTTATTCTAGTTCAACATATTATCATCTTTGAATGACTTTCTAACCTTTTTGACATAAGTATGTATAGAGTTTTCATTCTTTGGGATTCATGTCTTTGATATGAGCTATAATTTTTAAATAACAAGAATATAAATTTTAGATTCATTTTCCAAAGCTATGTGATTATTTGATATTAGGTTCTTCTTAGATTTTACAACTATTAAAATTATATATTTTTTTTAATTATAAAGACTTATAATGATGCATGTAATATTCAATTGTATTTTTTTGTTTGAAAAATCTATATTTTTAATAATTATTTCTAAAAATTAATATTACTATTATATAAATTATTATATATTTATATATTTATATATTTTCTATAATATAAAATAAATTAAGAATTATTATTTTTATATCTAAAATTATCAAAAAAAAAATTATTTTATTATCAATTAAGATTAGATATAAATCTACGTACCTCTTTTTATACAACTTTTTTCCAAATTTTTCAAAGATTAATAGAGAAGTAACAATATATAATTTAAAGAAACTTATTTATTTAAACATAGTCCAAGTGAAATTATTTTTTTCAGGTATTCAAAGTGAAGAATTAAATATATAAACTATCAATGTAAAGATTATTTAAATGTAAATTTTGGGAATAAAAATTTAAACTGGACCATCTATACAAAAGAAAAAGAAGTGACCGAACAGAAAGAAAGAAAAAAAAAAAAAAAAAAAAAAAAGTAGAAACTGTCTTTAAAGTAGTGCGCTCACTCTCACACTCTCAATGGAAAAGTCAAATGCATCCACTTCATAAAACCCATTTTCACAAAGTGCTTTTCAAAACCACATGTGTTACGTTTTGGCGGTACATCCAATCCAAAAATATGTTTACTGCATGAATAGGAGTCTCTTATCTGGTTATTACAAATAGATTTCATGGCTTTCGGAATACCGCACTTGCTGCTTGGTTTCCACAATTAGTGCAGCGATGTTTCCCACCCATGTCCATAAAACATCTTGCACGCTGGGATGTTTCAACACATCATGAATCCACGAGCCATTCGATGACAGACAAGAGCAGATGATTGACATAACTCTCTCTCAATTCAGCCAAACTATACGTTACAAGTTAAAGCTTCTCTCTCTTTCAACCTCTCTGTTGCATGTAGATTATATCACAACATTACAAACACGGTGGCAATGTATCAAGCACATGAGGGTCAAAGCTAGCCCTCCGTTCCAAGTCTTTCAGCTGCATTGGACAAGTCGCGAGAGAAGGGTTATCGAGTCATGGTGATGAGCAACTGCACAACAAAATATTGCTAAAAATATGAATGATTTATTGTAGAAACGAAATCTCCTATTCTAGGTCATCGTGATATGGATTTGAGACCAGCAAGCTGATATTTGGAATTATTCTAACGCTCTAATTACAGCCGTGATTGAGAGAACTATAATGCAGCTCATCAATTTTCGAAAAATCCGTAGGCAAGTTTTGCTGAATCAAGAGTATTGGAAAGCAGCATAGCAATAGTCATTGGTCCAACACCCCCCGGAACTGGGGTGATCTGAGAAGCCACTCGACAGGCTTCTGCAAAGTAAACATCTCCAACTACTCGATATCCATTCTCAGAATCAGGATCCTGGAAGCATCCGAAAAAATATTAAATGCAGTTGGTACAAAATTCGAACTTCTAAGCAACCACTAAATTCGTCTTACTACACACCACTTATAATAAAAACAGTTCCGGGAGAGTAAAACCTTCTGGTTAGTTGCGTAAAAAGGAAACAAAACACTAACGAGTATTCATTTGATTCTCATCACGCGGGATCTAGTGTAGCATAAACGGAGGTGTGAGGGCCTCACCTCGATGTGATTGATGCCAACATCAATAACGACAGCCCCAGGCTTCAACCAACTCCCCTGTACCATGTATGGCACACCAGCGGCAGCGATGACTATATCAGCATTCCTGGTGAGTTCTGGAAGGTTTGGAGTATGTGAATGCACCACAGTAACGGTTGCATTTTGTCGCTGTAGGCACCAAACATTTAGTAACTTGTCAGTGGTTAACTAGATACCAAACAGAATAACTAAGTTAAAATAAAAGATCACCACATGACAATGATATGTTCTCTTCTATTAAAATCTACTAAATAGTTGTATGTGAAAATTAAATTGTGGGACAGAAGCAACGTACTTGTAGAAGCAAAGCAGCTGGCATGCCCACCACATTACTGCGACCAATAACCACTGCGTGTTTACCTTCTATTTGCACTCCTGATCGTAACAGCAACTCAATGCATCCTTTGGGAGTACATGACACAAAGAGTGGAGCTCGACCTTGCATGGCCAACCTTCCCACATTCATTGGATGGAAGCCGTCCACGTCTTTCTGTATGCTAACAGAACCCACAACCCTCTCCTCGCAAATATGCTGCGCGGTCAAAAACTCCATTTAAGCACATTTTTACAAAACCGAAGTTGCTAAAAAGTGGTTATGTAGTTCAGTATGTTAAAGTCATTATGAGTGCCTTTAAGCTTTGAAGGTATAACTTCCATGAAAAGCACCAGCAAGAGTAGTTACAAAATAGTAAATACTCTATTGGGAAAGCACTCACGCGAGGAAGCGGAAGCTGCACCAATACACCATGAACATTCGGGTCACAATTAAATCGTAGAACAGCTTCCACAATCTCCTCTTCTGTGACGGTTTCTGGCAAAGATACATTGTAAGAGTTGAAGCCCACTTGCTCGCATGCCCTCTGCTTACTTCGAACATATGTCTCGGAATCCTTGCGTGACCCCACTAGGACCACTGCAAGGCCGGGAACCTTTCCAATGGCAGATCTCATCCTCCCAACCTCTTCTGCGATTTCACGTTTGACCTCCTGAGCAATAGCTTTGCCATCGATAGTATTGGTCGCAGGGTGCGAGATGATAGACGCTGCGTTGACTCATTAGAGACTTGTCAGAGGGTGCCGATGATACAACAAACACCAAGGTTCAAAGCAAGCCCTTCTATAAAACCAGGTAAGAAGCGAAATTTTCATTCTGTGAAATTATAGCTACAACGTGCTGCAGAGCTAGCAAATTCTCTGTGGGCCCCATGAAAATAAATGTATCCAGCATAGCAACAACAAGAAATCATAAGACAAAGATGTGGAAGCATTGACCTTCTTTTTTGAGAATAGATTCTGGTGGCCACAAATCGTGGCGGCTTTTCCACTTATCTATAGTGTTCCAACTTAGGCCTTCAGCCGGTTTTATTCGCTTCCGAAACTCACATGAGCTCGATTGCGAATTGCCTGAAAACACCAACGCGGCAATTCCAACTCAATAAAATACAACTATGCATCACAAAGACCCTACAACCCGTGCGAAATAATTCTCAAAATCGCAGACCCATATCGAACGTGCCCTCCCACCTATCCTCGCAAACGGACACACTTTTTAATCTTAACACGAACCACAAGCCAACACTACATATAATCTTCATTTGTAAAAATTAACCTTAAATGAGTTATTGCTTATTCTAATTTACTAAAACAATTTAAGTTATTATGACAATCGTAACAAACCTGAGGTGGTTGCTTGATCAGAACTCGCGCATTCAACAGTAGCCGAATTCTCAAACAGAACGTCAGTCACAAATTTCCGGTGGGAAGAGTATAACCGCAATGCTGCCTTCGGTACCTCTGCACGCCGCTGACATACCCCAAACATCTCTTACACTTTTCTTCACACTGCGAGTACCAATCTCCCACTCCTCGGAAATGAACGCAACACACCGCAATGGACTGTCACAGTATGTGCGTCCACGCCTTCAAAATGCAACCTATGCTTCAGCTTGCTAATCCTACCAAACTCTAGCTTCTCAGCACGGTGACGCTCGTTGTTACCCGTAAAAAAACTAAATCACACGATCCCAGATCACCAATTTCTCATTGCTGTGGTATATCTACTGAATCCCAGCGCTCAAAACACACGCACCACAGTGCGAAGAGAAGAGGCAGCTTGGCGTTCTACCCACCACAACCCCACCTCCACGGCCGCCTCTCCCCATTGCTACACTCTATCAGTAACGAAATCTTATTCGAAATCGGAAACTCACGACCAATCAGCAGCAAAATTCGACGTAGACAGCACAAGCGCAACGCATTCTGGCCACCGCCAGATCTCGCACTCTCATTCCGTTGCTCGCAATCGCTTCGCCAGCCCAAGTCCTCCTGCTCTCTCCGATCATCCTAGACAAATCCTAGATCTCACACGATCTACTCTAACTTTAATATTCTTCTTATATCGTAGACTCTATTGTAAATATCTATAAAGTGGATATACGAATAAAAACTTAAGCTCATAAGGATAGTAATCGTTATCTATGTAATGTGAACATGCATTGTGGTAGGGGGTGGTCACGGGGCCACGTCACTCGGCCACGTCGGCATAACTTCTGGAGCCACTCTGACGTGGCGATTTTTGAAAGGCACTATGGCCAATCCGAAATGTTACTTTTGCGTTTTTTCTCATTTCTTCGCTTTATTTATTAAAGTTTGGGGAATGGTCTGACGAAAGTGTAAGAGTAAAAAGGTTAGTGGATGGTGGTTCTTAGCTTCGATTGAGTGACATGTGTTGTGTCGTTGTGGCAATCTTATTGATTTTTTTTCGAGAAAGGGGACTAAACATTAATGTTATTGTTTATTTCAATTGATACTGTTACTTAAAAAAAATAAAAATATGTAATATTAATACATATATATATATATATATATATATAGAGAGAGAGAGAGAGAGAGCTCTCAAAACACGGATTTTTTTATATTAGATATTCATAAACACAAGATTGATTTATATTGAATCATTTTCAAGTAGGTACTGAGTGATATCAAGGTACACACGTGAATATGTGGACAAGTTTACTCTTTTTTTTGCTTTTAAAATTTTAAAATTAGATTCGTGTGCATTATAACTAAAGATCAAGTACTGAAATGGATGATAAATGTACAAATATTTTAACATTGCAGAAACTTTGAAATTTCGGACCTTTAAATATTAGCACAATCTTTAAAAAAATATAACTTTAAGTTGAAGAATAGATTTACAAGAAGTAGAGAACATTGTGATTTGTACAAATAAAAGATTGGTATATTTATATTTAGGAGAGTTTTAATAATTCCATGACAGAAGCAACAAGAACCTTGGAACTTCTTTTATTTTTAGAAAAACTTTATACACAACAATATTGTTAGATAATATTAGATATTTCTAATAGTCATTCATCTCATTCAAATTCAAATTAAAATTAGAATACTACAATTGGTGAGTAGTATTGGAAAAGAGATATTACAATCATTCTCCTCACAAGGAATTGAACTTGAGGTCTTTAATACCACATCAAACTCACACACCTTTTATACTGTAGGCTCATGGTTATGTTTTCTAGTGAAGATTTGTTATACATAGAAATAAAAATAAGGACACTTGTTATGAGTTCACTAAGTGTCATGTCAAAGCACAATATATACATAAGAAAAAAAATGAGTCTAATTTGATATAGATGTCTAGAAAAGGATAAATTAACATGGTACATTTATATCATCAATAAGAGTTTCAAAACAGCTCTATATTAGTATTGAAATAAAATTACAAATTGAAGATAAGTTTGATTTTATTATAGGCTTTCCCTCCAGAACCCTTTTAACTGTTTTTTCCTCTTTATCTCAAAAAGATATCATATTAACCATCATTTGAATGTCCTAAAATTACCCCGTACTTTTTCTCAACCTTTGTTCATGGCATTAGCACTTCGATAGCACAAATTGGGCATGAAAGATTCCCTGCTTTAATTATTAATATTATAGCAAAACATTTTTTTTCCTTGGTTAGTAGTGAATGGGAGGTTTCTAAGCAACTTAAGGCAAAGTCGGGAACCCTTTAAAACGGTTACCCACATAGACTTGTTTTCCAAAGTACTGCAATGCATTACCAGGGCCTTACCAGAAGGTTACCAGATAGTTACCAGGAGCTTATCCGGATCTCACCAGGCCCCACCGAAAGCGGAAGGGAGAGCCCACGTCGTCCTCCTGCGCCTCAATCAAAACCAGACAAATTTTTCGTAATCCAGCATCACGCCATCGAACCACATCCTTCAATTTCTTACTGTCAGTGAGAAAAAAAACACGCAGCAATCTCGCGAGGAATGATCCCACACAGCGATACCAGAACCTACAAGGATGTTTTCTGGATAACATTCCGCTTGTCGCAGCGTAAATCTCAGCGATGGTGGTAGCGCAAGCAGTTCACCAGCTTCGACACAGTTGGTCGTGTCCAGCTGAGGCCAGGAATGTGTCACACGTCGCGTCGCTGGGAGCTGCACACTCTCGTGTGGGACCTCTCGAGAAGACGAGAAGGTCACGAGAGGGGTTGAAGGTGAGATTTGGTGCGAGAGCAGCTGTGAATGTGGACTCGCCGAACGCGTTGCCGATTAAGAAGAGGCCCGTCGCACAGGCGAAGCGGAACCAGTATGATATTACCACTTTCACCGCGTGGTTGGTTCGGCAGGAGATAGAGGGGGCGATTGATGGGGAGTTGACCATCGTGCTGTCGAGCATCGCTCTGGCGTGTAAGCAGATTGCGTCGTTGGTGCAGCGGGCTGGGATTTCGAATCTGACGGGGTTGCAGGGGGTGGAGAACATTCAAGGGGAGGAGCAAAAGAAGCTGGACGTGATCTCGAATGAGGTTTGGAGTCCATTTGTGTAATTCTCGTGTCTTTGAGAATGTTCGTGTGTGTTGACGTGCATTAGGGTTTTTTCGATTTTCGGAGTATGAGACAAATGGGTTGCGTTCCTCGATGACGTTTCGTGTAGGTTGGTCATTGGTGAGAGCAGGTGTTCTCGAACTGCTTGCGCTCCAATGGCAGAACGGGCATCATCGCCAGTGAGGAAGAGGACGTCCCGGTCGCTGTTGAAGAGAGCTATTCAGGGAACTACATTGTGGTGTTCGATCCTTTGGACGGCTCCGCCAACATCGATGCCGCTGTGTCTACAGGGCCCATATTCGGTATCTACGCGAGCGATCAGGAGTGCTTGACCAATCTTGGAGGCGACCCGAGCGTAAGTCCTTTCCCCAGTGTCTTCCTGGAACCTATTTGCAGACAACCACTTCTACGGCTTCAATTTTCAGCTTGTCCAAGTCGCAGTAGCCGAATGGTTTCCATGGATATCAATTTCTCCAACAAGCGCTGTCAGAGCTTCGTCTTCGTGTAGTAATGTATCATAGGAGTGAACTAGGGTTTGGATGATTTGCACACATGACGAGTCACCACAGGTTGAGTTTTTCATTTCAATTTGATGCGAAGGATTACAGTTTCTAAATTTTATCATAAAATGCTCTCGAATCTGCGATCGACTAGGTAGCACAGAACTGTGTGGTGAATGTTTGCCAGCCTGGAAGCAACCTCCTGGCCGCGGGTTACTGCATGTACTCCAGCTCCGTGGTGCTGGTCCTCTCCATCGGCGATGGCTTGTGCGCTTTCAGCCTGGATTCCTTGTACGGGGAGTTTGTGCTCACTCACGAGAAGATACAAGTCTCCACAAACACCAAGAAGCTGTACTCGTTCAATGAGGGGCGGTACGAGCTGTGGGACGACAAGGTGAAGAGATACGTCGACACCCTGAAAGTGCCAGACGGATGGTGAGACGTACTCCTGCCGCTACCTGGGCTGCCTGGTGGCGGATTTCCACAGGACGATGTTGTATGGAGGAATTTATGGCTATCCTCGCGATGCCAACAGCTCTAACAGCAAGCTTAGGTTGCTATATGAGTGTGCTCCGATGAGTTTCCTGATCGAGCAAGCCGGTGGGAATAGCTCCGACGGCCAGCCCCGAATCCTACACATTCAGCCTGAGGAGGTACGCATTGTCAAGCAAACTCTCGTCTCAGATTTCCCACCTGCAAAGCTCGGCTACAAACAAACAATTGTGGAATGCTTGGTTTCAGGGTGTTGGACTCTGAGTACTGTAACTTTTATACACACACACGTTAATATATATATATATATATATATATATAGATCGTGAGACCTTACACTCAGTCACCAGAATGTGAGCCTGAAGTCGATGTGGGTTGGTTGATGTGCAGGTGCATCAGCGATGTCCGCTGTATTTTGGCAGCCCAGAGGAAGTCGATAAAGTATTGAGCTTCTTAGCTTGATATGCACATCCGTTGCCCTGCAGGTTGTGTGAAGGTCTCCTTTCATTCAGGTCCTCATTGTACTGCAATTTGAAGCAATGAGATCACCCACATCACTGCATTCATGATAGAGATCAACAGTGTGGCCATCGCATTACGGGATTGAATAAGCTCTTTTTTTTGTGGTGCATTTACGTGTTGATTTTGTCTAGATTTCTTTCCTTGTTCAATCTACTCTTCATAACCTGCTGCTGCCCTTGTAGACAATTCTGGTCAATGAAAAACACTCTTCTGTTATCTCTTCTCCTCGGAGGATGTTTTCCCTCACGTTTTGTTTTTGTTTTTGGCTGCTTCTGAGGTTGTGTGACTTTCTTGAAGTTTTGACGCTCTTATTCTGACTACATCCCTGTAAATATATTAAGTTTCCTATTATCTCAAACTTCTCTAAAGTTTCTTTAGTTCTACTGCTTATAAACCGTAAGTCCATCAAACTACTGTTACTAAGTTTCTTGTTATGAGTGTGTTACCATTAAGTTGTATCAATGAATTTGCTAATAATTTGCAAAGATAAAATCATATTATATATGCATACACAAATTGTTAAAAGTTTAAGAAATCCATTGAAACAAAATTGATTTATGATTTGCAAAGCAATTCTTTAAATCTTTTTTTTGGATATATATACATGTACAAATGGGTATATTTTTCTTTTTGGAAAGTGACTTGACAAGTTTATATCAAGTGTCTCGTCAACAAACATCACCTTGTGACAAGTGGTTTACAAAAAATGTTTGGTCAAGGATAACACTTTGACTTGCATCTATTTCCCAAAACTTTTTTTTTTTTTTTTTTTTTTTTTTTTTTGACAAAGCCAATAGTAGGTCATAGAACATGTGACGGCTGGGTGTATTGTAGTATAAAAAGCTGCATACGTGAATCTCTAAATAATTATGATTTATATTTCTTATTGTTTCTGTTTTCAAAGTATATCAACTGTGCTCTTCTTTTTTTTTTAACATACAAATATACATGCAAGGTTTTAAAAAATAAATGAATTTAAAACATTAATATTTTATTTTAAGAATTGAAAATTTAGGTTAAAATTTTAAAAATAGTATTTTTATTTTAAAAAATATTTAAGTTGTAATCCCTACCTTTACTTGTCATTCCTAGGCTAATAAGTCAAGTGAGCAACAAAGAAGATTTTGAATTTGCTTACATCCTCATACAAAATAAATATCTAATAGAGATGTTTATTATTATAGCACTGTTGTTCAATATACACTCACTAGATGTTTTTATTTATTCATGTATAGAGAGAATTAAAATAACTCCATAATAAAAATTATAAATTATTATGTTTTATCTTCGTAAAATGAAATTTATCTGAGATATTAAAAGAATTATAAGTAATATTTAATCTTTATTTAGATACATATTTGTAGACTTTTTTTTATAGTCAATATGCATTGCATTTAACTTCCATGTCTTTATAATTTTAATATTTTAAATAATTATGGTTTCCATATCTTATATTATTATCTTCTTCACATAAGTTAATTTCTTATCTTAAATCAATCCAAAACATAAACACTTATTGGTCATATGTTTGATTGTTTGATGTTATTTGTATTCAATTGTATAATGTTTTTAAAATGTAGTCTTGTTACAAAGTTGTGACATTAAAATAAATAAATAAACATCTAATAATAGCATGATTCTTACAAAAACTACATTCAAAAAAAACAATGCAACTTTTCAACTTATTCAAAAATTCTCATTTTTACAATTTCATTTGTTTAATTGGATTTATAACACTACTGTTATTTTTTTATGTTAGGATTGTTGTCATCTAAAAAAATAGCTTGTTATAGAATTATATTCTTATGGACTAAAAATAATTTACAGAAATTTACAAAAGTCAACAATTGCAATATTTCCAGCACATGTAAATTTTAGTATAGAATAGAATGATGATAATTCTTTCAGAGATCAAATTTAAAACAGTTACTACAAATAGAACTGATGTATGAGTAGTACATTGTTTAAATGTAAATGTATCTCTGTTTACAAGATAATAGTACAAAGATAAAAACAATAAATGAAATTAAAATGAGTAAAAATGATACTTTAGCCAAATTGAAAAAATAACTAAAATAATTAATTAATTAATTAATTAAAAGTTGAAAATGTAAAAAAAAATTGAAACCTTAAAACAAAAAACAATACAAAACTACCCAATGTGAAAACTTTATAAAGTTTTGACCAAGACACTTTAGTTGAATAAACATGACAAACAAAAACAGACAACTTACTGCAAGTAAGACATTGTATTAAGATATTGTAATTATTTTTCACGAAAGACCCTCTCTCATTCATTTTAAAAAAAGCTAACAATGCAAATAGCAATAATCCTTATATATAAGATTTCTACATAAATTATATTTGTACATATATCAGAAAAAATAAATTCGAATTACGTTATAATATTATACTTTAAACCACTAATCTTTTGCAATTGCAAACGGATAGTTTAAGAAATAATAAATCTACATTAATAGTACTCCAAGCGAATAGCACTTTGGAAGAAGCAACTTTAGATGGGGTACCCACCTTGACGTTCTATAAAATATGCCAAAAATAACATATATCTTAATATACAGCACATGTCTATTCTCATCAAACTATTTTTTATAACGTTTTTTTAGTACGCATGCTAAAAAATGGAACAACTCTTTAGCTTGAAGAGGTATCGTAGCAACACAAACGCTTCAAACTTGTATGTCGTATATCTGTAACAATACATTTATGTAAAAATATGAATTCGTGGTACCTTTATGAGATCCGTTATATTATTAAACTCGGGGCCAAAAAGATGATGCATCGGACCATGCTTCAAGTGCGTGCACCTGACTCAATTCGGACCACATTCATTCCCCACGAAAGTTTGAGGCCGAAGTGTGGTTTGTTGTGAAGAAAAATTGGGTACCACCGTGTTCGAATCTGTGAAATTCCCCTATTTTACATAATTTTACTCACACTCGCACATTCTCCCGTAAACCTCTTGTGTATATCTCTACTTTCCAGGAGAAGTGGTCTGCGATGTGAGGTGCAGTGTGAGTGTTTTAAATGAATCTTCGCCCACGAAATTTAGTGTGCGAAGGTAAGGATCTGATCGAAACGCAATGGATTTGGAGTTGGAAAAGGAATATTCAGCTACGAGGCAATGGTGTCAGGGAGCGGAGATGGCTTATCCGGGAATGCAACAATGGGCGGCATTTGATGAAAAGTGCGTGACTGTCCCTTTTCAAATGAAACCAAAGCGTCCGAATCCCCTATTCTGGGTGCGCTTGAAGGACACCGCCGCCTCAAAGCGACTGCTGCAGAGAAGGAAGGCGGCCAGGAATTTAGGGACAAAGTTACGATATACATTGAGCATGACCATTCGACACACGCCATCCATTTCTGCACTGCAAGGTTTCAACGTTCGGGCATCACTGCGCCTCCCTGGAACCAACTTAACATACAACCTTTGCTTCGACTTCCCAGCAGTGATCTGTATCTCCAGACATCAGTTCGGAATCGTCTCTAGGAACTTGAATCAGTCTATTTGCTTGTCTCCCTGTCTCTCTGTCTGTCTGTCAGAGTTCAGAAGTCCTGGAACATCACCACCCCTTCGCCGATTATGTGCTTTATTAGGGGACTTTGACAGTTGGTCTGCTGTAATCGCTATGGTCATCGATGAACTGTTCATACTCGAGTTGTCTATCTCATTGAGAAGGGGATATGCTAAATAACGGATCTACTGAGAAGGGACATACTAAATAATGGATTCAGTCCTCGGGCCGGTTTGTGCTAGTGCGTAACGTGTAGCAGTTGAGCTACACCTAGAAAACAATAATAGGTACTGGTGATTAGGCTTATCCTGTTCGGAGAAATACACTGTCTAGTTGCTGCGTCACATATCCTTCCGCTTCTGGCATTGGAGGATGCGCCAACCAGTTATTTCTTTTTCTTTTTCAACCTTTTTCAAACTTTGAATACGATTGTTTTTCAGAGGAGGGGCACACTGTGATGTTTTCTGTCTGAAGTGTATTCCCCTACACAACACGGCAGGTTTATCTGACATCTCCAACTATTGAAGGTATAAAAACATGCAACAATGACGGGGTAAGCTATAAACCTTTCTGATGCATGTTTACCCTCTTGAGATGTTTTTATTACTTCGCAGTGGTCCGGCCAAACCTAGCCCCGAGCCGAGTCGGCAGTCCAGCTGCACTGCCACCGTGCAAAGCGCTGCTCTGCACTCTACTCTCGCGTAGTCTTCGTCGCGCTCACTCATCTCCCCATCCGACCTCGTCGCAATCCATCTCATCTTCACCACCTCACTCTCATACACTCTGCCTCTCCATCACGGTCCACCTCTTACCGTTTGAGTCTCTCCCCTGAATCTCCCGATCTGTTACTAGAGTTCGTGCGTGTGCGAGAAGCTCAATTGATCGTTACTTTGCATTGCCGTGCTTGACTTCCTCGAAAGCATTGCCAGTTGCAGCGTATGAATGGTTGGAGTTGCAATCGGAGTGCAGCGCGTGTGATTGCATAAGATTCATCGTAGGCAGTCAACCTGGGATCACTGCGACTGGTGGTAAAGTTGCAGTGGGATTTGACCTCTGGATGTTGCTATTCTGAGAGGTGAGAGAAGTAGAGAGGTATTGTTTTTTGGAGGCTGTGGGGGCAGTTGTGGAGTTTTTGTGTTGGTTTCTGTGTGCTTGGGGTTTTGGAAGTGCAAGGTCGGAGGAGGAGCTCGAAGGAAGCTTAACGGGGTGTTAGATTGACCATGCTGGTGTACACTAGCGCGACGCGCCGTCCCTGCCGACTTCCCGGTGCGTGGAGGAGGCCTTGGGAGGATTTGCACACTGACCACCTTGCGAAAACAAAGTTCTCCATGGCACGTTAGACTCGCTGTTGATAGTGCACGCATGTGAGCTGTATGAAAACCGCGCTAAGGTTTCAGGAATCATTGACTGTAGGCAGGTTTGGGTAGACTCCGGAATATTTTAGGTCGCTCCAGACGGTGAATTCTGGGATATTATTAGGGGGATTTTTTGCGATGGAAGAGTCAGACTCGCTCACGAAGATGGCGAAGGCTTCACGAGGTGCCAATATATCACCAAAGCAAGACAAAAAGAAGCAAGTATGCCAGAAGATTCTGCGGCAGCTTGCCGACAATGAACATGAGGCTGCTCAGAAACCTGAGTTTGTAGAAGAGCTTCAGGCCCACTTCAACCGTTTGCCAACCAGGTACATTTTACGAAGGGCTTTTTTCGCCCTCTTGCGCTCATCTGCTACAATTCCTCACAGAATGTATGATTGACTGTGTGCGTACAAGATTTTGGATGTGGTCCGTGGATAGCAGAAGATCGGTTAACATAGACTGTATTCATGTCCCTCGAAGTGCAAGGTGCATATAACGAGGAGAAAAGGTCCTGTTAGCGACCATTTTTTGCTAAAGTCGCAGAGGTCTGAGTTAGTAACGTTCTTTACAGCCCAGGAAGATTTTAGGAGTGTTTTTTTATTTTTTATTTTTTATTTTTATCGTGCGCGACAATCCCATGGATGTTTTCGTACAACTGAACGTGGAGGGTCAGAGATTATTCTGGTTTTTGGGACAAATGCATTCATTTAAGCGCTTAATGTGCTCTCAGCTTTAGCACATGTGCATCGGCCGTTAACTGTGATCCATTCGCAATGGCCTCGTGTCCATTTGCGAGTGGCAGTCGTGTTTGAGACGTGGCCATTTTTCTGAGATTTGGAACTTGCAGATATGCGTTAGACGTCCATGTGGACAGAGCGGAGGATGTTCTAACGCACAAACGGCTACTTGAGGAAGCCAAAGTTCCAGAGAAGAGGCCCGTGTTTCACGTACGAGCTGTTCAAGTGAGTATTCATTAATCTGTACCGTCACCTTAGATCCTATTACGATGTTCTACTGGCTGTTCTTAAGCATAATAGCTTCTCAGTTTTGCTAACAAGATAATGGGACGCTAAGGAAGAAATAATGGCTTGCATGGACAGGTTCTTCCAGTTGAATCTCAGGATGAGCCACCGAGCCCATCAGACCATAGCACACTATCGAAATTCAGGTGCATCTCTGATTCCTATTTTTTCAGGGTTTGGAACGCCACCCAGATCACTGATCGAGTCGTGATCGACACTGTTGAAATTTATGGCTCTCACGTGTGCCATTTGGTGGGTTATAGATTAGCGCCTCCAGTGTTTGGATCCTCGGCGAATTTAGAAGCTCTTGCAATGGATTTCAACAGTAAATCTGTGGTTCACGGCGAAGAGAGCGATGACAGCCACCACTCCGAGAGGTAAAGCCCACAAGCTCAAGCACGCGTGTGTTTGGGGATTCTCATGACTTATGATTGGACTTTCAGGTTTCTGTTAGCAAATCGTATGTTCTGCAGCTAACCTTCAATTACTCTGTTTGTCAGTGCGAGTCACCTGCAAATACCCATGCATGAAATTACTTTCTCCACGATTGACAAGCCGAAGCTTCTCAGTCAGGTGGGTGTGGCATTGCTTGTTCGGTGAATAAACTAGCGAATTTTCACAAAGCCCATTTCAGATTACAATTTACAAGTTCCTGCTAGAGTGATTTTTTAATGCGAGAGTTTTTTCACGGGTTTGTGAGTATCAACCGCATGTGGCCTCTATTGGCGTGCAGATGTCTGCTTTGCTCGCGGATGTGGGGCTCAATATTCGTGAGGCACATGTATTTTCAACTACAGATGGCTACTCCCTTGACGTGTTTGTGGTCGACGGCTGGCCATCAGAGGTATACCGAATTTCACTTGTTTAGAGCAGGTGTGCGGTGAAACGCTCAAAGCTAATCTTATGTTATTCATTTGTGCAGAGAAAACGCACTTAAGTAGTTGCCATTCTGGATTGCAGGACACTCATGATCTGAGACGAGCACTTTTCAGTGCACTATCAGCAATGGAGGTAAGGGCTGGACTGTAACATATCACGGCAACCTTTACAACTTAATTTGTAGTATTTTCAATTTTCTAATTTTGTTTTTGCAGCATGTAATCAACGCCGCAACCTGAATACAGTCAATGAACCTACGCGCAGGAAGGAGTTTGGTTGAAAACTCCTGCAGCAACAGAGTCTCCATCATCACCATCGTTGCAAAATGGTGGGCAGAACGGTACACCGAGTTCGTCTAGGACCAGCGTGGATGACTGGGAGATTGACAGTACCCAACTTAAATGCAACAATAAAGTAGCCAGTGGCTCTTTCGGAGACTTGTGAGTGTTCCTTGCTCCTAGATGATTAATAAGCTCATGGTTTATATCTGACGTTATTGCACGGACGATCAAAATTCCCTGATTCTCTTGTTTCGTCAATCCTTCTGTAGGTACCGAGGCACCTACTGCGGACAAGACGTAGCCATTAAGATTCTCAAACCGGAGCGCTTGAACGAGAACCTCCAACGAGAATTTCAACAAGAAGTGTTTATCATGCGAAAGGTTAGACATAAGAATGTGGTTCAGTTCATCGGTGCTTGCACCATGCCTCCCAATTTGTGCATCGTTACCGAGTTTATGTCAGGTGGGAGTGTATACGACTACTTGCGCAAACAGAAAGTACTCTTGAAAATGCCAATGCTGCTTCGAGTGGCCATTGATGCCTCCAAAGGAATGGATTATCTCCATCAGAACAGCATCATTCACCGAGATCTCAAGGCTGCTAATCTCCTCTTGGACGAGAACGAAGTAAGTTGGACTTTTATATCCGTCTGACCTCAAACCCTTCACATCAAGCCATCATCTTGTTTTATTGGTTTCTGCCTATGCATATTTTTGTTGGATGTACATGAAACTGATGCTGATTTCTGTGCTGCAGGTGGTCAAGGTAGCCGATTTCGGAGTTGCAAGGGTGCAATCCCAGTCAGGTATCATGACGGCAGAAACCGGCACATACCGTTGGATGGCACCTGAGATTATTGAGCACAAGCCATATGACAAGAAGGCTGATGTGTTCAGCTTCGGAATTGTGCTCTGGGAGCTTTTAACTGGAAAGGTTCCTTACGCAGATATGACTCCACTTCAAGCTGCCGTGGGGGTTGTACAGAAGGTAATTTTGTTTTTCTGCACAGCTCTCGGTTGCTGCATTGAATGTCGTTCGTTTACTTCTTTTGTTATGATGCACTTCGATGCACTTTGAGTAGGAAGTTGTGGAGTAAAGCATGTTGTAGGAATTTGCTGAAAGATGTGTCGTGTTCATGTTTTTATTTTTTTGATCAGGGCTTGCGACCTACTATGCCTAGGAACATTCCTGCAAAGCTGGTGGATCTTTTGCAACGTTGTTGGAAGACTGACCCATCAGAGCGCCCCGGATTTTCTGAAACTACTGTGATTCTACAAGAGATTCTTAAAGAGGTACTTATCTGTCACTCATGGTTAGTAGAGTTCTAAAAGAGGTTCTTGTCTACCACTTACGGATTGTTGAGTTTCCAAGGCTGTTGTGTGTCTACTCTACTTTCCTGTTTTCCATGAGAACCTTTTTTTCTGTTTATAATCAACGAGGTGGGGTCTCTCATTGTGCAGGTGAATGAAGAGTTGGACAATGAGAGTAAGCAGCCCAGGGACAAAAAGTCGAGTGGGTTGTTTTCCTCCTTCAAACGCTCCATTGTTAGTAAATAGCAATTTTGATAGTTCTTTAGGGTTTGTTTGTGGCAGGAGAGTTCTAGGTTGCTCTAGTGAATCCCTTCTTTTAAATTCCTTAGTACTCTTTACAGGGCATCGCCTCTAGATTTGGTGGATACACTTTTGTTTCGACCTCCTTTAAAGTCATTGTGGCTATGCAATATTTATATACAAAGTAGATGGCATTTAATTTAATATAAAAATATTTTAATCAACTACAATATTTGAAAAATATATATATATATATATATATATATATTTGTACATACATATTTGTAATTTTTATAATGGTACAATAAAAAGATTAGTAAAATTCCTTTACAAAACTCATCTTAGACTTGTATAAACTAATAATTATCTTGACCGATTCTTTAGTAGGTTAAACTTCACCAACTCTTAACAAATATTAATGGCATTAGTTGCACTAAAGATTGTTGAAGTATTATTTTCTAATGAATCTTATATCCAAATTAATTTCTAATATTATCTAGATAGATTATAATATCAAAGAAAAAATCAACTTTATATTTTATTTTATTATTATCACTCCTATGTTATAGAAGAAAACAATTGAAGTTTAAAATACTTCTTTATAGAATTATTGTCTTGCAATATTATTTTTGTAGTTTAACCTACTAGATACAATCAAATTGTAGCATTTTATTATAATTAATAATATAAGAGAGTTTTAAGAAAACCTCAAAGCCATGTTAAGTTGCTACTTAATATTTTTTCAATAGCAAACTTGTAGAAAGTTATTGCTCCTTTATTCAAAAAAGATTGCATTTCTAAATCTTGTCTTTTTATCTTTATAAATTTCATCTTATTAGACAATATTATTGAATGCATAATACATTTAGTTCATTCATGTAATTTTAATAGTAGTTCTTTACAATATATATATATATATATATATATATATATATATATATGTATATATTTTATTATTAAAATTAGGTAAGTTTTATAAAATTAAAATGAGTTTTAATTATATTTTTAGTTAGCTAGCTACAACATAGGATTGTTACTATATTTTAGTATAAGTTTTAATCTTTTTGTAAGCTATAAACTTTTGAATGAAGTATATTTGTAAAGAAGATCTACAGATATCAAATACAAGAAATTTGTTTAGAAGTAATTATTCTTTGATTCAAGAAGTTATAGTTTGCTATAAATAAATATAGGTTTTAATAAGTATGTTTACTTTAATGTGTCTTTCAAAGTAGATCTTGTAATAAAGTGGAGTTTTTAAGAAAGGTCATTAAAAATCATATATTATAATTGTATATATGTAAATAATTTATTGATATTCATATTAGCTAGGAGGCAATAATTTATGTGTGTTTTACTTAAAAGTTGTAATAACCATTTGGATGTTCTATCTCTTATTTGTTGTTCTTACACAATATCTATTTATACAAAGATACTTGTTTATATGGTAAGTTAGAAGTTAGTTTTTAGTTTCTTATTTGTGGTTCATTTTTTCAACCTCAATAATTATAGATTAGTATTTCTTTGGCACATTTATCCCATATTCATAAAGTCTATTGTAATTCATTATAAAATAGATCAATTTTAAGTAAGACCAAAAATATAAATAGACTTGCAATGTATTGGTTTGTTGATGTATTATGTGTCTTGACTAATTCTCAATCATTGGTGACATCTTATATACTCAATAGTTATAATCTAAGTAGAATAAAATATTCTTATTATTAGAATTCTTGTATGTTTCATTAATTTTGTTTTGTTTTGTTTTTTGTTTTGTTTTTTGTTTTTTGTTTTTGTTTTGTTTTGTTTTGTTTTGTTTTTGTTTTTGTTTTTTTTTTTTTTGTTTTTGTTTTTGTTTTTTTTTTTTTTTGTGTTTAATTGTAGGTCTTCTTTCCATGGCTCTTTAGTATTAAAAAGAGATATTTTTGTTGCTAATAATTTTTTTATTGTTATGTTGAAATATTGATTGATTGTTATCATTTAATATGATTTGTAGCTAAAATATAATTTGGATGAAGCAAGTTAGAATGAGACAATCTTTAATTAAATGTGAATTGAAAAGATGTTTTTTTTTGTAATTGATGGAAAATAAATAAATAATTTTTTAATTGGCTAAATTTATTTTTTCTACTTTTATATGTAATATTTTTTTTACTTCATATTAATAAAAATAAAAATAATATTGATTTGTATAGAAGTTATAGCTATCTCTTTTTTATTTATCTTTAAATATATCTCAAATTAGCTTAATTCTTCATTCAAATTTAAAATTGTCATTCATAGTTGCATCACACATATATTCTATTTTTGGTTTTAAAGAGATTTTAGTAAGGCCTTTTGGATTATTTTATAGAACTTGTTTTATAAATTCTAGTATAGAACCATCCTAACATAAAATTCTTTGGATATCTTGAAGATAATGTTTATAAGCCATAGATTTATACCTTTTGGTAATTGTCTAGATCCTAAAAGGTATACCATAATAACACATTTGTTTTTCATAAAGCTTTGTTTTGTTTATGAGCGACACAAGATCCAACTTTATAGAGACAATTTTTTGATTAAAAATAATCTATTACAATTCTAACAAAAGCCTTCAAATAACACTTCTTTGCATTAAGCTTGTATGGAAAAAACATCAATATATTTCTTAAAATCTGTTACAATTGTATTTAATTCAAATTTATTGATTCCAATTTAAAATGCATATTTCATTCCCTTCTTACACTTCTAAGTTTCTTGACAAAATATGAGTAAAGACAACTATAACTCCATGTGATTCCAAGCTTGTTATCCCATTGTTACTAATAGTATTGTTGTAACATCCTTGGTGCATTCTTGGTGCTAATGTTGGACAACGAATTAGTGTTACACTTCACATGTATATCTCCAAACCAAAAACCTAATGTTTCCAAAGAGTGGGTGAATCTTAAAAAATATTCAAGGACCAAAGAACCCTAACAATGTGCTACGACAGAACTTTCTTGTAATTTTTTCTTTAACAGAGAAGGAAAACACCCCTTTTGTTTCAAAATAAAGAAATAAAATAAATCGAAATATGATTGCTATTGCTATTGCGACCCTACCACACAAGTACATTTCTTGGTGTAGAAGTTGTGTTGCTATTTTCCGGTCGCATAGGACAGGGATCAATCAGTACGTAAAAATAGATGCTAAAATCCAGTTTGTGGCAGTGTAAATTGGGAATTCCTATACTACTTCAAGGAGGATGTGCACGTTGCCAGAGACAGCTTAAGTCAATCCCTTCATCAAATATCCTTCAAACTATCTATCTCTCTTTTTGAGGAGTACATTCTCAGCAAGTGTGCTCCACGAACAGGGCGACTACAGAGTCAGCACCAAGATAGAAAAGCAACCTGTAGTGTTCTGCTTCGTTGCGTATACCCAGTTTAGTAAATCTTCTTATGTCATTGCTACTCAAACTTAAGAAGGACGACACACTTGAAGGTAACCTGTAGAACACTTAATCCTTGACAGGTTTTTGCTCAAAGAAATTGCGGAAGCTGAAAGAAGTATTTTCTACCTGCTTCTCCTTTTTGTCAGGAGTAGGCTTGGGAGGGTCAGTCTTCTTCTTGCCGTCCGAGTCCGGGAGAATTGAGGGTAGCTCGATTTGCTGAAGCTTTTCCAACAAGTTGGGGTTTTCAGCTGCATCCCCGATAGACTCTTTGTCCTTCTCTTTCGGCTCCTCGTCCGAACTGAATAGCTCTCCCACATATCCAAACGGATTACTTAGCTTACCTGCAACTCTTTTCGTCACTTTTACCACTTGAAACCTCCAGACCATGGTGGTGACCGCCATGAATCCTAGTAACCAATGTGTAATTCTGTTGCTGTTCACGATAGCTTTGCGCATGCTACTATCAGAAGACGCAGGGTTAGTCCTCGACTTCCTCCTCTTCTGTGAAGACGACTTCATTGATTTCAGAATGAGCTCCATTGCCTCGGTGTTCTTCGTCATCGACACCGCAGCAGCCTCAGCTGCATCTGCTGCTGCTTTGGCAGCCATAGCTGCCGCTTCCAGGACCATTCTCAGTTCTTCATTGGTTGAGGACGATGGTTTCTCTCTACCACGTCTTCTTTCGAAACTCCGGCCTCTGGCAGGTTTTGGAACTCTCTGAACTTCCGTTCCGAATGCTTCAGAAGGTATCTTGGAGCCGGTGGTCTGATTTCTCCTCAAATCATGCACCTGAACATTTACATAAGGATTTAGTAGAGTGCACCAAACTCAAGAACTTCTGTTACATTCTTTATGAAGTCCAATGTTTACTTACGACGAGGATGCGTCATATGATACACTGCACGCACGGAAGTTGTCTGTAGTGTATTCTAGATTACCTCCATGTGCTTAGATTTACCATTATACTTGCACGGGTTTCCTCGATTAGCTTTACAGGATTTTCTTTATTAAAATCAATTCATAATTCATGATTTCCACTTGTAATATTTATGCAGTATTTCATTGAACCAAGTAGAAATATAGACATCCACTTATGATCAGTTATTTATAAAGAATGTATTTACCATAAGGTTAGATATCCATATGTAGTAGATGAAACCACCCAGAACGACTCACAAAAAAATGCAATTCCTAAGAGATATATATATATATATATATATATATATATATATATACACACACATATAAAAGGACCACTAGAACATTCTGAGACAAAGCTCGAACACAGACTATCCTAGCAAAATTGCAAACCAATTTTATCATCCTACACACAGATCACACTAATGTAGAGATCAAAGAAAGGAAAAATATCCACGGACCTGCTCCAACAACTTTGTAAGCAACGCTCTGTCTTCAGAGTCCGTGACCATGGCTGGCGGAGCATCTCCCAGGTCAGCCGATGGGTTCTCCTCGCCTTCTGCATTGAGGGAACCTCCTCGGAGTCTCGTCTCTACAACCGCCTTCGCATCTTCCGAATCAGCTTGTGAAGAATATTTCTTCAGCGTCCGAAGAATCACGTCTTCCACTAAAGTCAAAATATCTTCACTACACCCCTCGCTGAGAGTATCATCATTCTCCGTTTGTGTTAACCCAGCAGTCCCCGAAGCCGCAGACGACGTAAACTCCGTCCTATCCATCACTTCAGCTTGCCATCATCTCCAGTGATATTGGCGCTACTCATCGCAGTCTCAAAGCACGTCTACGAGTACCCATTTCCTTGCAAAATCTAATCACCTATCCTAATAGATGATGTAACTCGCTCATTGCACAATTGATAAAACTATCTACTCTTAACTCGCTCACTCTCTCTCTCTCTCTCTCTCGCTCTCGTTGTGCCCATACTCTAGTATTCCATTTTCACCATAGCCTATTTCACAGAACTCTCATATGATTCCCGTGTGCGCATTCTGCGTGCATTGCGCCAAGGATTAAAGCCAACGGCACCAGAGTAATACTCGTCCACATAAAACTATCTTATCCACAAGGCTAAATGCAAAACAAGGGGTGACACTAAGCCTGCAGCAAGGTCCCTCAAGCATCAATTCGGTGCCCACCTCCAACTCTTCTTGCCATTGTCAAATCCTCCAGAGACATGAAACCCTCGCAGCCCACATCCCTCAATACGGATTTTACTGCAACGCTGATCCATGTGCACAGGAAACACTCACCCACTGGTCGAAGAATGCAGAGATGTGGGTCGACACTACCTTTTGGAGTGATGCCAGCTCTGCTGCATCAACCTAATTTAGCAGTCCCTTCGAATTGGGTTTGTTGCCACAACCTGGTTTTGTTCAAAAAACATATTGACTGTGCTGTGTTTTGGAAGTCGAAAATCAAGGTGAGGGCACTAAAGGTGGGAGTTTTCATTTTATCAGTAGCTATTCCTTCTTTTGTTCCCTAATGAGTAATAAGGAACTTGTTGACAAATTCTATGATAGAATGATAGAATTATCAAAAAAATAATCTTGTAACACATCAAATCATAATTTACTTTATATAATATTGATTGTTTTTAAAATTTTAAAATTAATCATTGTCATCGATATATATATATATATATATATATATATATAGATGTCAAAGATATGAATTTCAAAGAAAGAAAATCTCAATACTCTTTTGTGTTACTCAAAAAGACTTAAAAATCATTCAAAGATGGTAACACATTGAACTAAAATGGCTATTACCAAAGACAAGAAGACTAGAAAGTCTTGAAACAAGACTAAGGACTAAAAAGACTTTGACAAGAGTGAAGAAGGCTTCATTCTTGCATCTATATATATTCTTTAATTAGAAGTTATGTGACAATCTTTTGTAGGACTTCCAACATATATTGACTTTGTTAAATACATGTCTTAACTTACAAGGCAAGTTAGCTATATGTATACTACATAATTAGCTTGTTTTATAAGCTATCAATACATATGGTATATGAATAACTTGTTGACCAAGTTTTTAACCTATCAATCAAGTACAAACATGTGTAAAGTCAAAATTGTATCTATGAAGTTTCTAAGAAGCTCTTCTAGAAAATATTATGAAATTAATTTATATTTATCTATTTTTATTTTAACATATAAATAACTATTCAAATAAATGTGTATGTCCATAATATAATCATTATTTTTAAGAACAAATTTTTTGAGTAGTGGTCATCATCTTTTATATATCTTACAATTCTTCATTTTGATTTTAATAGATATCATTGATGAAAAGCCTCAATCTTCTTTGTTGCATTGGCAAGATTCTTTGTTGGCTCCTATGTGCATTCACAAATATCATATGAGCGCCAATAAATAAGATATTTCAACTTATTTTGGTGTTGCCTTGAATCTAAGACTTCTTCTACTTCAAACTCTTCATTATTATCTACTTCTATAGGAAGAAGTGACATTTGTCTTTTTTCTAAGATATTCACTGTCTTATATGGTTCAAGAAGAAATATGTGGAATATAAGATAGATTGTCATAGATTCTAATAGATGTAATAAAAAAGCAACAAGATTGACTTATTGACAAATAAAAAAAGGTCCAAGCCTATAATAGTCCAACTTATCATAAGAATAAGTAGTCTTGAAATTGCAACAAAGTAATTATATCTTTTTATCGACATTGAATTATGGTTGTATCTTGAGATAGGCATCTACATTAGTCTTTTGTCATTTTTGAGCTTCGTTTAACTATGCCTTCATTATTGCATATAGCTCTAACAAATAATTTCTCAAATCTTTTGCCACATGTTTATCAACTTTTGAAAAGTCAAAAGTATCAATTTGTAGATGATAACCATAATTGGCAAAAAAAAAAAAATTGTTGAATAGAAGAATATATCAAATTATTATATGTAAACTTTGCCAATGATAAAAGAGTTGTCCAATCATCTTAATGATAGTTGATGGTATGCTTCAAATACTATTGTAGAATTTGATTCATTTCTTTTGTTTGTCCATCAATTTGAGGATGAAAAGTCAAAGAAAGCTTTACATCTACTATTAGAATCTTGAAAAGGATTTTCTAAAATCTTAATATAAATGAATCCTTCTATCTGATATAATATCCTTAAAAAATCCATGATAGTAATAGATATTGTCAAAAAAAACTTAGTAGTTTTTTTACTTAAGATAGATTTTTTATATAATATAAAATGTGCCATCTTAGTAAAATAATCTACTTTTAAAAATATAAAATCATAAAAACTTAAAATTAGAAGATCCATGATAAAATTCATAGATACAAAAGACCATAGTAGTTTTAGAATATATAATAGCTGAAGAAGTTAATAAGATTAATGACAAAGAATTTTTGATCTTGAAAAAATATTACATGATTGTATAAATTCTTTTACAGCCTTACATATTTGAGTCTATTAATTTTTTTTATATTAGTGCCAAAGAATTATTGTATCCAAAATATTTAGTTGCTTAAAAGTTGTCACAAGCTTAAAGAATATATAATTGTCATTTATCTTTTGGAATATATAATTTTTCTTCAAAATAAAATAGATTATCTTTGAATTTAAACTTAAAAGTATGATGAGACTTAGAAAAATTATTCTTAATATTATGAATAAGATGATCAGAGGACATACTTGATTGAATTTGCTTAACAAAGGTTGAATCAATAGTCAATATTGTTTTTATTGTTCAAAAATGAAAATGCTCTAGCTTCAAGAAAATTGTTCTTTTTTGGTTAAAAGTTATATATCTTTCTTTGGATGTAAGATAAGAATGTCTAAAAAAAGTATCTAATAAATCTTGTTATTTTTTAAGTTGATAAATAATCTTGAAACCAAATCTTGATAAAAACATGATTTAACAAGCTTGGAAATGATTCAAAATATGTGCTGACATAAAGTAGTTGAGATTCTTGTGATCTATATATACAATGACTAGATTAGAAGCACTTTTTAGATAATAATGCCATTCTTAAAATGAATAAGCAATTGTAAGAAATTCTTTGTTGTGGATTTCATAATTAATCTTGATTGCTAAAAATTTCTTAGAATAAAAAGCTACTAGATGGAGCTTGTCATGTACTCTTATTTGTCACAAAATAATACTTATAGAAAAGTCTAATATATTTTTTTCCATAAAAAATATCTTAAAAAAATTGATACAATATAAAATTAATACAAAAATAAATGTTGTCTTTAAGGCTTCAAAAGATGCTTCAATTTCTTTGCTCTACTTAAGTTTATCTTTACATGTCAAGCATATAAGAAAAGCCGCAACTTAAAAAAAGTTTTTGATGAAGATCTTGTAATAATTAGCAAATCTCAAAAATCATTATACATCTTTGATTGTTTTTAAAATCTTTCAATCCATGATAGTCTAAATCTTTTTTGGATCTATTATTAGTCCTTCATTGAAAATGATGTATCTTAAGAGGTCAACTTAAGTAATGTAGAATACATACTTTTCTATCTTGGCATACAATCCTATATCTCTAAGTTTTTGTAACACATGACAAACATGAAGTTCATATTTTTTTATATTCTTAGAGTAGATCAAAATATTGTCCAAATAATAGGCAACAAAATCATCAAGAAATTCACAAAAAATTTCATTCATGAAATAATAAAAAGTAACTGATGCGTTTGTGAGTTCAAAAGGCATAACATTATATTTAAAATATCTATACTTAGTTTGGATACTAGTCTTTTATTCATCTCTTTCTTTCATATAAATCAGATTATATGCTTCTTGTAGATTTATTTTTATATAAATCATTGCTTAATTGAATTAATTAAGAAGTCTTAAAACCAGAAGTAGGAAATACCAATTTTTGACAGTAATTTTGTTAAGTCTTTGATATTCTATGCTCATCAGCAAAGATCCATCTTTTTTCTTCACAAATAAGATAGGAGTTATTGTTGGAGATTTTGAATGGCATATGAAGTTTTTAGCCAAGTTCTCGTCAATATATTCTTTTAGTGCAACCAACTTATTTTGCGATAAGCTATAAATAAATCCAAATAGTGGTTGAACTCCTTCTTACAAATCAATGGAATGATTATAAGGTTGATGCTCCAAAAGAATATATATATTTTTTTTTTTTTCAAAAATAACTTAGAAATCTTGATATTAGCTAAAAATACTACTTGATGTCTTTCTACCATCAAAAATGGGCATGACATATATAGTAAAAGATGAACTTTCTTTTGCCACAATGTTAAAAGTTTTTGTACATATCAATAAAGGTTTGGATGTATTAAACTTCTGTCTTTCTATTTGACTAACGAGATTTTCAATCAAACTATAAAAAAAATTAAGATTATAAGAAATTCAATCTATCTAAGGATCATAATTTTTTAACTATAATAATTCTAAAATAATTGAATTAGATAGATATCTTATAACATTAAATATTACTATACTATTATAATCTTTAATTGTTACATCTAAAGAAATAATCTTATAGATATCATCTCTAAAAGATAATAAATAACCATCTATGATTTTTATATGTATAGGTTTAGTTTACTTAATTAATAATATTTCTTGTTTTTTTGACAAAATCTTCATCTATTAAATAAGATGAGGCTCTTTAATCTAACAAGGCTAAGACTTTGTGATTTTTTGTTCACAAATAAACTTCTATTGTAAAACAAGGTGAAAAATTTGAAGAAAAAGTTAGACCTTTATTAGATGTTATACAAGATTCTAACTGCACGATCTCTAATATAGCTAGAAAAACTCATTTTTTGACACATTATCCTCTTTGGCAACCATGCTCTCTATTTTGAAATTGCATTGCTTCTTTGAGTAATGTTGAATAATGAACTTTGATTTTTTAGAATATAAGTACAAATCTTCTTAATGACAATGAATCTTTTCTTATTCAATAAGAAATGAAAAACAAACTATGTCATTTTACATAGGCTTTGGCTTGAATAAGTAAGCTTTTGAAAACTTAGAAGATGTTTCTATGGCTTGACTTCTATTTCTCCAATCAAATCTTTGTTCTTGGCATCTTTCAAAAAATCAATTGTTACATATAATGGCTTAAGCAATAATTTATTTTAACAAATTTTCTTTTGATATTGTTAATAATTAATCTTTGATATTATCTTATAATTTATATTAAAACTGATTGATAAGGGCTTTGTCATTTCAATCCACATTACAAGCAAGATTTTGGAATTTAATAGCATATATAGTGACTAAAGCTGATCTTTGTCATGGCAATACAAGCTAAGTCTTTGTTA